AGGCTCAGCTTCCCTGTGGCCCTCAAGTTCTTGTCTCTGTGGCTTGATCTTTCAGCTGATGTTAACCAAAAGTCTGAGAAATGATTATGGCTGTATTTCTGGAAGAAACCATACTATTTGGGCTGGTAAAATGGTTCAGCCAGTAAAGTACTTGCAGGCAAACCTGATGACCTGAGTTTGATCCCTGGAACTCGAAAGGTTGGAGAGAACCAATTCCTGCAAGTTGTCGACACTCTGACTTCAACAGGCATCATAGCACACACCCCCACACAAAACAGTCAGTCACACACACACCATAATTTTGATTTTGTTGACTATAACATAATTTTAAAAATAAATGTAATGAAAAAAACATACCATCTGCCAAGGACGTCATGCTGTCACAGTGACAACCATCAAATTTTAGCAGATCTATACCCCAGTCAGCAAATGTCTGGGCATCAACGTCATAGTATCCAAAACTCCCAGGGAAACCTGCACAGGTTTTATTCCCAACATCTGCATAAATTCCTAGCTTCAATCCTTTGCTGTGGACCTGAAATGAGAAGAAAGATGAATCAGGAAGTAGTTTTCTAAAACAGGAGGGTAACTTACTAAGGCTAAGAGCAGAGAGCTGTGAGCTTTCCCCAAGGCTTGGGGGCTTCCCTAAACCACTCCAGTTTCTTAGCTGAGTTTGCTGGAAGCAGAGCACAAATCCTCCAGCTCTGCTAAGAGAGTTCTAACTATACATGGTGAACTGGAGCACAGAAGTGAGGAAAAGCTGTGACCACTTTAATATTCCTCATGGGATCCCACAGTCTCTTTCCAAAACTGGAACAAATTTATCTTTTTTTTTAAGTTTTTCAAAACAGGGTTTCTCTGTGTAATAGCCCTGGCGTCCTGGAACTCTCTGTAGACCAGCCTTGCCTCAAACTCAGAGATGCACCTGCCTCTGCCTGCGGAGTGCTGGGATTAAAGGCATGCGCCACCACTGCCTGACAACAGATTTATCTTGAGAAAGGCTAACTACATTTCAGTTAAGCCTCTCTGAATCTGGGTGAGCTTACTTAATGCAAGAATCCTGCTAAGTCATACCATTTCCTGACTTGATGTCTCCTTTCCAGTAGTTTTCCATCTACTGAACTCCCAGTATTTGCTCATTGGTTGTAGATTCTCATTTGTCCACCTGGATTGACCCTTTTTCCTACAGTCCTGAATAAAACCTGCTTAATGACCCTTAGCTAACATCAGGCTTCTTCTGTCTTTAGTAGTCTCTGCAATGTTTGCGCTTTCATTTTTTAAAATTCATTAGTGGTATAACTGTGGTAGTCTTGTCACGTTGCCATAGAGATAATACAAGCATGCTTGACACAACCAAGCTCTCCTTTTCTTCTAGAGAATTCAGTGGTTTCAGCAAAAAAAAAAAAAAAAAAAAAAAAAAAAAAAAAAAAAGTTTCAACAAGACAGACAGGCCTCGGGCTCAGGAACTATTGTGAAATGTGTATATGCTGATGTGATGATAATTCCATCAGGATAAATATAATGAACAGCTAACAGCAACCATTTTGAAGTATCACGTGGCCTGTTTCTCAATAAGCTTTTTTAAGTGCACACAGACCCATAAGAAAAGAAACATTCCACTCCAAACTCACATAATTAGCTAGGTGCTGGATCCCACTAGGAAAGCGCTGGGGATCTGCCTGAAGGCGGCCCTTCGAGTCCCTTTCAGGAGCCATCCAGCAGTCATCTATACAGAGGTATACATAACCTGCGTCCTTCCAGCCATCAGAAACCATGAGCTCTGCCATCTGCATGAACAGCTGCTCGCTGAAAGAGAATTTCCAATAGTCATTCCAGTTCATGAGATGAAGGCCCACGGGCTCCCAGTGTAAAGCACCTTGGGATTTGGGTTTCTAAAAATGCAGTGATACTGTGGTAATAATTACAACCCATACGAGGTAAAATTAACTCTTTCCTGTTTCTCCTCTCCCTCTCCACCCATGATCTCTGCTCTAGGACTCACACAAGGGGTGGGGCCCTCAGTTCCATCCCTAACCACAAAAGAAATAAAACCTCCAAATAATTGAACTAAGAATGAGACATATGAAAAAAATCGCAAAGTTATTGTGGCTAAGAAGTTGTGGTGACACAGGTTTGAAATGCTGGCTATTGAGGAAAATGAGGCAGGACGATTTGCAGGTCTAAGGCCTGCCTGGCTTATATCCAAATAGAGGAACCCCAACAGAGTAAGAGTCAGCAGAATAGACAGCTTCTGCACCAGCTTTCTCTGTGTACAGGGAAACAATCTCATTCACAATAGTAACAGAAAGAAAAACAAACAGAAAAGGCCAAGCTATCTAGAGAGTATTATGTTTATCAACCATGTTAAAATTCTCATGCTCCTTAGTGGTTTGAATAAATAGAGAAACATAATCTTACTCTTGGCTCAGAAAACCTTGAACCCCAAACAGACTTTTGAAGGAATTTGGCAAAAGATTTGAAGAGCTCACCTAAAAGATGAAATGCTATAAAAGATGTGCTATAAAAGAAGGGAAGCTACTGCATGTAGCATGGCATTAGAACACAAAGATTACTGTTATTTGAAACTTCAGAAGGAGCTCCACCCATCTCATGCCATGAGTCTTGTAGTTTCCCCAGAGAATACAAGGTTTCACAATCACCTTCCTGTTTTTCTCTCTTGAGACAGGATTTCTGTGTAGCCTTGGCTGTCCTGGAACTAGCCTTGTAGACTATGCTGACCTAAATCTCCCAGAGATCCACTTGCTTCTGTATCTGATTAAAGGTGTGCACATTCCCACCAGGCTCACAATAAAAACCCAGCTCTTGTAGACCAGGCTGGTCTCAAACTCAGAGATCCGCCTGCCTCTGCCTCCCGAGTGCTGGGATTAAAGGACGTGCGCCACCACCGCCTGGCCACCCCAGCCCAATTTAAAAAACAATTAAACTGGGCATGATCTTGCATGCCTGTAACTCCAGCAAAATAGGAAGTGGTGGCAAAAGACTAGCTTGATCCACATAGGGTGACCATGTCCCCAAATCCAAAGGCAAGGAATTCAGCTTAGTAATAGAGCACTTTCCTAGCATGTGCAAGGCCCGCGGCCACGTCCCCAAATATCAAGAAAAACAAACAAGACTTAGTCTAAAAAGCCGGTTTCTTTTATGATGTCTGACCAACACCCTGATTTTATCTTTATAGGCATTCAGAGAAATAACTTGTGAACATAGAGAGGGTGTTGTGGCAGCTGCCTGTAGAGGCAGTTTTGCGCCACTGGGTGACCTTTTTATGTTTTCAATAATATTTTTAAAGAAGCCACTAATACTTGGTGCTTAATCTTTTTAAAATTACAGATTCATTTAAGAATTTGAAGGAAGGGGGCCAGGCAGTGGTGGTGCATGCCTTTAATTCCAGCACTCAGGAGGCAGAGGCAGGTGGATTTCAAGACCAGCCTGGTCTACAAATGCAAGTTCCAGGACAGGCTCCAAAGCTACAGAGAAATCCTGTCTCGAAAAACCAAAAAAGAAGAAAAAAAAAGAAAAGAAAAAAAAATCTCTTCCCTAGAAAAATGCCCACAGATTTTTAAACTTACAATTCAGTTTTCTATACATGCCAGGATAAAGACATCTGTTTCATTTGCCTAATTGAGGAGGTCAGGGCAGGAATGGTGGTTGGTTTTTAGAATGGGTTTAACTGCAAGTTCATCTGTGTGAGATAACCGTTTTAAAGGTCTTACTTTTTGAGACAGGGTTTCACTTTGTTGCCCTGGTTGACCTTGAACTCAAAGAGATTCGTCTGCCTCTGCCTCAGGAGTGCTGGGATTAGTCCTGTGCCACCTCGCTCAGCAATTTTACAGCTTTGTGTGTGTGTGTGTGTGTGTGTGTGTGTGTGTGTGTGTGTGTGTGTGTGAGAGAGAGAGAGAGAGAGAGAGAGAGCTCCTTGAGTTAAAAAAAAGATGCTAGTTTGCAAACTAGTATTGTAAACATCAGATAGCTTTAACAAGGTCTCAACTCTCACCTTTGATGTGTAAAGTTCCTTCAGGTCAACTTTCCAGCCTGATGCCACACTCAAGGAAAAGGGGTTGAGGGACATCTCAGTGATCTCATGGTTTCTCTAACTCTCGCTTCAGTACAGCCAAAGAACCCGTGATCCAAAAAGAAAAAATGACATTGGTCTTAGTCATCCTCCTACCCATTCCAATTGTGCTTATGGCTAGCTCAAGGCTATCACTAAACAAAGGCAGAATACAAACCCAAAGTGTCTGCATTGAACCAAATTATATATGAAAAGCTCCCAGTGCAGAAAGAGAGGGAGAGGGAGCAAAGCAGTGGCTTGCTGGCTGTTTCTCATCTCGGGGCAGCTCACAGTTTAGGGGCAGTCCAGATCCCGGATGGATGTTTTGTTGGGGATAAAGAAGCAGCAACAGTAGGGGATCTACTCCTTCAGCTCAAATGTTCCCATTCCTTCTACCAAATACGCCCAAAGAAACACACGGAAAGAGAAACGGCCACTCAATATCTCATACCTGATGCAGGAATCAGGCTCTTCTTGGCAGTCGAGGTTGCACATGAACCGTTCCCAGTGCAGCCAGCCCATTGTAGGAGTACGTGCCAAGCCATTGTCCAGTGCTTTGGCCCCAAGAACGCCCAAAAAAACTAAAGCCAGGGGTCGAAGCGCAAGCTCACAGACCAGTCGCGGATCTCCGCTAAAAAGCTTCATGGTCACAGGAATTCTTTAGTTCAGTTTCCTGCAGCTATCAGCTTTAAGTTTACCCTTGGGGCGGACCAATCATGGATGAACTATTTAATAATGACATCATCGTTTCTCAGGCAACTGGACAGTTAGCGCCAGCGGTAGACCAATGAACAATCACGTAAGACATACATTAACCAATAAGATTGGCGCTCTCTTTACCTTGGTCCACCCCATTTCCAAACCGGGAGGAAGTGCGGCACCTCAGTGATCCCGAGTTTAAGCCGAGAGTTGCTCACGTGACCGAGATCTCACATGACGTAGGCGCTCACGTGATCAATCGCTTACGTGAGCAGAAGTAGTTCTGGTCGTCGTCTATCGCCTCGCTATAGCTGTTTGAGGGAAGAAGGAGGAAAATCCCCCGGTCTCGTTGGAGGTTGGTGCGTGGGTGGGAACTGGGGACCCTGGGTGGTGATAAGGAAGAGCAGAGCGGAATCCGGGGTCGCCTCCGCCTTTTTCGTGCTCGGCTTCCCCCCCCCCCCTCCGCGTCCTCCCCCCTCCCCCTCCCCGAGTGTCGGGAAGCGGCCTGCGCAGCGCCTGGTGGGGAAATGGTGGACGGTCGTGCGGTCGTGACTGTGTGCGTGTTTTTGTAAATCGGTTCGTGTGGCCGGGTCTCGGGGACCTTTCCTCCTCTTCTCGCAAGAGGGACCCGTAAGGTGAAAAGCGTTTCAAAAACACGGCCCGGAGTTAGGAGAAAACCCCCCAAAAACATAATGAGACCCGCGGTCGGAGTACCGCTCCATCCATTCAGGCGCTCAACTGTTCAAATCGCCCGGTGGTCGCGAGGGGTCCCGAGTGAATTCCACCCTTAGAGTGTGAGCTGGGCTATTACTGCGTGCTCGAGAGGCGCCCAGTAAATGCGTTTACTTAATTATTCGAACGTTTGTTTTTCTGCTTATAACGATCTACGCGTTGAATTTTGGTCATTCGAAAGGTAATATATTCGTTTAAAAGGGACACTTTCCAGCTCTTATTACTGTTACAAAAAGTGTGCTGTAACACAGGTACAAATACACAGATTCTTAACTCACAAATCCTGGTTACTACGTTAGGTAACAGAGTCCTGGTGGCCTTCTCAGGAAATGTAAGGAAGCAAAACCTCCCAGCCACAAGGGAGGACCTATTGAGGCAGAGTGCTGTAGAAATCACCGTCGTCCCTGGGATGTTTTGTCAAATTATTCTTTCAGCAGACCGTTAGGCATGCATAAAAAAAGAATGGGAAAAACGCATCAATAGCCACTGCTAACATGTGAGGTCCAGTCGCCATCAGCGCACACAAAAAGGTTTTAAATTTTTTTTGGTCATATTTCCCATGCTTGTATTTTTTTTCTAAGATTACGTTTGTTCCAATACAGTGAGTTTAAAGGATTAAGACTACGAAAGTGTATAGTATTAAAGTGAAAAGCCACCTCTGCTGCCTTGCCCTCCATTTGGTCCCCAAATTTATCTTATACGAAGTTCCTTTCAGATCATCTCTCACACGTTTATACACTGTGTTTTATGCTTGTATTGTAATAGGAGTAGGATTATACTGTATATATTCATTCATTCAATGTATTTTGGAAATCTTTCTAGGTAAGCGCAAACGTCTTTCATAAGTGGTTGCATAGAAATCCGTATAAAGGTAGAAATAGAATTTATCCGTCTCTGTTGAAGGCTATTGAGTTTTCTCATTTTCTGCCATTACAGTGCTGCAGCAAACATTCTTAAGTATTTCTGTCGAGCAGATTCCTGGAAGAAACTCTAGCAGGCTCAAAGGGTATGTGAATTTTTACTTTAACATAATTGAGGTTATAAAATGGCTTTGGTCTTGACTCATTTAAAATTTTTATAACTTTATATTAATTGTATACTGGTCCACTTTTCTCCCTAAAATGCCTTTCCAGCAATAAGTCCTGCTCTTAATTTCAGATAATTCCTTAAGGCACATACCTGAAGTGGATTGATTTTCTTTCAGAAGGTGTGGTAAATACTATGAAAATATTTTTCCAGAATAGTTAGCAGTTTTTATCCTTCTAGAGAACTCTAGTTGTAAATAATGTTGACTTATTGTCACAGTTTAATCTCCACTGTTTTTGATTGGTGTTAAAAATGTTTACTTTACTTTAAATTTCATTTCCAGTGATTGAAGCTTGAAGCTTTCCCAGACATTTTCCCTATATACTCCTTTTCTGCTGTATTTAAATTTTTTGAAGTTATGATTACATCATTTTCCTCCCTTCACACCCTCCTATGTTTAATTACCTCCCCATTTTCCTCTCTTTCAAATTTGTGGCCTCTTTTTCTGAGTTGTTACTTGGCGGCGAGTGTGCATGTTCCTGAATATCCAACTCCAGCCTGCTCAGCCTAGTGTATGGGTTTTCAGGACTGACCATTGGGTGTTAGCATGTTTTGACTAATTAGTGTGTTCTTCCCACTTCTCCCACTCATTATTTCTTAGTTGCCTGCAGTCCTATATCTTCTTTTGTTGTTTGTTTTGGGATAGGGTCTCACCCTGCAGGCCTGGCTTTCCTGGAGCTTACTAAACAGATCACGTTGTCCTTGAACTCACAGAAATCCACCTGCCTCTGCTTCCTGAATACCACCACACCTATCAACTCTTAATATTCATAATCTTTTTTTTTATCAATTCCTACAGATTCCACTTTATTATTTAGGCAGATAGCATTTTTCCCCCTACCTCTTTGATGCTGTTTAAATGGATCTCTTGACACATCTCTAAGAGGTCATTTTTTAATTTGCTCTTTTCACCTAGCCCCCCGGTCTTCTGTTTGAAGGCTCCAGTTGCCTGGGTGATAAGTCTGAAAGGGCTATAATGACATCACTCCTGTTTAAAATCCATAAAAGGTGCTATATATATATTCCCTTCTCCACACCCAGCGTCAGAGCAGTAATGTCCCAATGTCTTAAGGTTTGGGGGAGGTATATGTCACACAGTGGTGTGAATACTGAATCATCATGCTTGGGAACCAAACAAGAGTCTAGCCTCCTTGTATTAAATAGAACCCTCAGGATCTTACCTCTTTCTTGACAGCCCTGTCTTTTGATTTCTGTCTCCTTCCATTTTGTACTCTATTAAATTTTTTTTTTATAAATTGTTTCTGGATCCCTGAATAGGATCAGGATCGTTTGATTCAATTAACCATTCTGCCTCCAATTGTTAGCACTTCATCAACCGATCCTCCTTTATTCTGTGTATTTGCACTTACCTTTGGTAAAGGCATACAGTTCTCCTTTAGGACTGTAAGCCCTTTCTGGGCTCGTTGATTCTTATGCATCAGAACTGAGTATTGGTCCTAGCATCTAAAAGATGCTTGAATATGTAAATTCCCATTAATGTTTTTTCTCTTAGGCTTTAATAGTTCTGTATTTTATTGATTTGCATGCATTGTTTATATTCTTAGGATATTAATGGCCTTGTATCTTATTAGTTTTGTTTGTTTTTTGATTTAAAGAAAATTTTAATTGTATATAATGAGATAGTTTTATTTGTTACCTTTAATTTTAAATTTCTCTCTATGGTGTTAATGCATTGGGTCAGTGCAGAAAATTTAGAATATTCAAAAAAGTACTAAGATATTCCATGTATATATTCATGGAAGCAAGTCTTATAGTACTGCTACCAAGAAATAATCACTATTCATTATACTGGATATATGCATAAAGAAATGGAATAAGAAATTGTTAATTGAATGAATTAATAGTTTTATGCAGTCCTTTTGTCCATGTGGCTATCTTTTGAAGTTACTGATGTGAGCTTCTATAACAGTTTTGTTTTCTCTTAGTATATTGTGTACAATTTTTCATGACAATACTTTTCTAATTTTTTTAAAGCCACATTGAAATTGTGTTGAACCAAGCTTGCCACCAAGAGCCCAACAGTCACCATGATGCTGAGCACAGAGGGCCGGGAGGGGTTCGTGGTGAAGGTCAGGGGCCTCCCCTGGTCCTGCTCAGCCGAGGAAGTGATGCGCTTCTTCTCTGATTGCAAAATCCAGAATGGCACATCAGGTGTTCGTTTCATCTACACCAGAGAAGGCAGACCAAGTGGTGAAGCGTTTGTCGAACTTGAATCTGAAGATGAAGTGAAATTGGCTTTAAAGAAAGACAGAGAAACCATGGGACACAGATATGTTGAAGTATTCAAGTCCAACAGTGTTGAAATGGATTGGGTGTTAAAGCATACAGGTCCGAATAGTCCTGATACTGCCAATGATGGCTTTGTACGGCTTAGAGGACTCCCATTTGGCTGTAGCAAGGAAGAAATTGTTCAGTTCTTTTCGGGGCTGGAAATTGTGCCAAATGGGATGACACTGCCGGTGGACTTTCAGGGGCGCAGCACAGGGGAGGCCTTCGTGCAGTTTGCTTCACAGGAGATAGCTGAAAAGGCCTTAAAGAAACACAAGGAAAGAATAGGGCACAGGTACATTGAGATCTTCAAGAGTAGCAGAGCTGAAGTCCGGACCCACTATGATCCGCCTCGAAAGCTCATGACTATGCAGCGCCCGGGTCCTTATGATAGGCCAGGGGCAGGAAGAGGGTATAATAGCATTGGCAGAGGAGCTGGGTTCGAAAGAATGAGGCGGGGTGCCTATGGTGGAGGGTATGGAGGCTATGATGACTATGGAGGGTATAATGACGGGTATGGCTTTGGGTCTGATAGATTTGGAAGAGACCTAAACTACTGTTTCTCAGGAATGTCTGATCATAGATACGGAGATGGTGGGTCCAGTTTCCAGAGCACCACAGGGCACTGTGTACACATGAGGGGGTTACCATACAGAGCCACTGAGAATGATATTTACAATTTCTTCTCACCTCTCAATCCCATGAGAGTACACATTGAAATAGGACCTGATGGCAGAGTTACAGGCGAGGCAGATGTTGAGTTTGCTACTCATGAAGATGCCGTGGCAGCTATGGCAAAAGATAAAGCTAATATGCAGCACAGATATGTGGAGCTCTTCTTGAATTCTACTGCAGGGACAAGCGGAGGAGCTTACGATCATAGCTACGTAGAGCTCTTTCTGAATTCTACAGCAGGGGCAAGCGGTGGTGCTTATGGTAGCCAGATGATGGGAGGGATGGGTTTATCCAACCAGTCTAGTTATGGAGGTCCTGCCAGCCAGCAGCTGAGTGGTGGGTATGGTGGTGGATATGGAGGTCAGAGCAGTATGAGTGGATATGACCAAGTTCTTCAGGAAAACTCGAGTGACTATCAGTCAAACCTTGCTTAGGGAGAGAAGGAACATCAAACAGCTCCAGGAATAACAGCTGTGCATTTATAGGAACTGGATAGAGTAGGAAGGATGTCCAGCATATCCAGTATGCTCGGTAAATGGGTAATACAATTGCTTCTGATCACTATTGGTCAGCTTCTTTCTTTCCTTTTTCTCCTTTTTTTTAAGAACAAAATTTAAGTTTAATAGTTTTGCATTACAAGCTTGTGATTCATGCTTACTGTAAAGTGAAAGTTAAGATTGTTTTCAAACTTTAAGCTCAGCAATTTTGAACACTGAAATATTCATCTAGGATGTAATAACAAGTTCAGTATTGACCATAACTGTTAAATCCACTTTCAGCTTTCCTCAAGTTAGTTATGTTGTAGGAGTGTATTTAAGCAGTAAGCATATTTAGGTTTAAAGCAGTTTCACTTATGTTAAATGTTGCTCTTATACCACAATACATCAAAAACTTCAGATGCATGTTGAGAAACATGCTTTTCTGTAAAAATCAAATATAGGAGCTGTGTCTATGATTCAAAGTGACAACATTTGGCATGTTTGTTAATTCTAGCTTTTTGGTTTAATATCCTGTAAGGCACGTGAGTGTACACTTTCACTTTTTTTTTTTTAAAAAAAGATCTGGGACAATTTTGAGATGTGATACCAATACTTCAGGAGTTTGGTCATGTTGTTTGTATGGAATTCTGAGGCTTTGGTTTAAATCTTACCTTGTATTGTGAATTCCATTTAGATGTATTGTACTAAGTGAAACTTGTTAAATAAATCTTCCTTTTAAAAACTGGAAAAATCTTGGGGCTGGAGAGATGGCGCTCAGAGGTTAAGAGCGTTGCCTGCTCTTCCAAAGGTCCTGAGTTCAATTCCCAGCAACCACATGGTGGCTCACAACCATCTGTAATGGGGTCTGGTGCCCTCTTCTGGCCTGCAGGCATACACACAGACAGAATATTGTATACATGATAAATAAACAAATATTTAAAAAAAAATAAAAATAAAAAAAATAAAAACTGGAAAAATCTTGAATAGTTTGATTTTTTTAATTATGTTCTATTATATGGGCACACAGTAACTTTTAAAGTTCTCTGTAGTTTAAATGTAAATTTTCAGGTTTTTTTTGAGACAGGGTCTCAAATATTCCAGGCTGTGAATGACATTTAAATTTTGATGTTTTGGGTTTTTCAAGACAGGAGTTTCTCAGTAGCTATGGAGCCAGTTTTGAATCTTGCTCTATAAAACCAGGCTGGCCTTGAACTTACAGAGATCTGCCTGCCTCTACTTCCTGAGTGCTGGGATTAAATGTGTTCACTGCAGCAACTTTAACATTTTGATCCTCCTGCCTCTAGCTCCTAAGTACTGGAATTTTGGCCATGTGTCACTTTGCAGTGCTGGGGAGCAAGCCCTGGGCTTCCTGCATACACGACAAGCACTCTACTAGCAGGTCTACATCCAAATCCCTGTTAGTTGGATTTGTGTTGGATTTGTGTGTTCAAGTGTATGTGTACACACATGTTCACCATAAAAACATTGGGTACCCTGTTTTATTGCTCTCAATTGTCTCTCACTGAGCCTGCAGCTAGACTGGCAGCCAGTAAGTTCCAGTGATCCTCCTGTCTCTGCTGATGGCCACACTGAGGTTACATGTGTGGATGACTACGACTGGAGATGTGAACTTCGGTCTTCCATGTTTGCACAACAAGCATTACATATTAAGCTGTCTCTAGCCCTGCAATTTGATTTTTTGATTTTTTTTCTTTCCATCTTTTTATGAGACAGGTTTCTTTGTGTAGCCTTGGCTGTCTGGGAGCTTACTTTGTAAACGAGGCTGACCTTGAACTCAGAGTTCTGCCAGCCTCTGCCTCCCGAGTACGGGGGGTTAAAGGTTGTGCACCACCACTGCTTGATGATAAAAACCTTCAAATACCCTTTATGGTTTGCAGACGATGTAAAGTGTGTAAGCCACTGGTTCTCTGACACTGCATTAGTGTCATTGGAACATGTTTAAAGACTCATTGCTGGACCCCATCCTGGGAAGGTTCTGAGATATTGTGCTGAGATTACTCGAGGCCACGTTTTGAGACAGCTCACCATTCTCCCACTGCTAAAGTCTAATCCTAAAAGGAACTGGTTTTGATTTTTTTTTATTTTTATTTTTATTTTTTTTTGGTTTTTTGAGACAGGGTTTCTCTGTAACTTTGGAGCCTGTCCTGGAACTAGCTCTTGTAGACCAGGCTGGTCTCAAACTCACAGAGATCCGCCTGCCTCTGCCTCCTGAGTGCTGGGATTAAAGGCGTGCGCCACCACCGCCCGGCTTTGATTTTGTTTTTTTCGAGACTGTTTCTCTGTAGCTTTGGTGCCTGTCCTGGAACTAGCTGGCCTCGAACTCACAGAGATCCACCTGCCTCTTCTGGGATTAAAGGCCTGCGCCACCACAGCCCCACCCGACTCTAAAAGGAACTGTTAAGAGATAGCGTTCTGATACCAGTTTTCTCCCCACTTCCAGTGCAAGTAGTTCAACATTTTTGTAGTGCAAGCCACAGTTGATTGTCTGTTTACCTTAGTTTGCACCTCAGGGGAGTATTTTGAGCACCTGTGGCACTTCTGCTCCGGTATCTTACACTTCTGTTTCCCGGTGGGTAGCTGTTTCACCTCTCACTGATCTTTAGTCCTGGACTCCCTCAGATCAGTAAACAGCTGCACAGGAACTACCTATTTCTGGATAGCTAGCTGCCCAGAAACTAGATCTTTGAGTTGCCTATTCTTTAACATCTATAGAAATATCCGGTGGTATACAGGTATACAGATTTGGATGCAGATACCAAATTTATATTAATTGGTCCTGTATTTAGGGATACTTTATTAAGCATTGTTTCTGAAAATTAAAACAAAAGATGGCAGTGAGATTTGAGATTCGCTGATGGATTCTAATTTATATTTTTGGTTGTTTTTTTTAAAATTATTTCTCATTTCTATTACAATTGACAGGAAAGTAGGAAATCCATTTGACTCCTATGCCATTGTGCCATAACGGATTGGAATGATTGCCCTTTTCTCCTGAGCTCATTTGGAACCCTTTCTGAGAGGAGTAAATAAATTCAAAGCGTTTTTGCTCTCCACATTGCTGAGTAATTTTTCCAGAAGTTTCTCTCAGTATGAGTGAAAAAGCTCCAGTTAGCCACTAGATGTCACCAAGTCCCAGAAAAGGAGAGCTGAATCCTGGCTTGCTAGAATGCCCTTCGCTCCATTGAATTGGGGCCAGCAAGGGGGCTCAGCGGGTAAAGGTGCTTCCTGCCATCCCTCATCAGAGTTTGACACCTGGGGACCCACCCCAGAGAGAACAGAGCCCAGCAAGTTGTCCTCTGCCCATATGGTGTGTCTCCTACCGCAATAAATTCGTTAAAAAAAAATCAGGCTCTATAGAACAGGCAAAGGAAAAAATGGAGGATTTCAGTGGCCAGTATTAGAGGTAGCAAAGAGTCAGCAGTGCCTGTCAGGGCATCAACAGCAGTCCCTGTGTACTGCACACATCCCTAGGCACACCCCACTGCCAAAGTTACCCAGGGGAGGATTGGAAGAGGTAAAGACGATGTCCCACTCCATTGGGTCAAGGTACCTGGTAATATTAGCAAAAAGTTGTCAGCTACAATAATCATGGCCTGAAGCTGTTCCCACAATAGCTTGTGTCAGTGATCTGGTGTGGTTTGTGCAACAGCAGCGACATGATCTCAGGCTTCCTTGGGAATGCAATGTTTCACCCCAGATGGATTGAAGTGATTGGGAAAGTCAGGGAGTGAGTCCCAACAAGCTGTCTTTTAACAAGTACATAATGTGTTCTGCTAATGTGCTTATTTATGTATGTGTGTGGGTTCCGTAACTCATCAATTCATTCATTCCTTCCAGAATTCATTCATCTGACCTTAAAATGGGTATCCAAATATAGACAATCATATGTAGCCCTCTAAGACTGTTGACTCATCCCCCCAGCAAAACAATAAGAAAATGTGATGCCAAATTCATTTGCAAATGAAACACCTTTTCCATCTCGTGCTTTCAGTAAGAATGAGATTTCCCCCCACTCAAGATGGGCCTTGAGAGCTATTGGCAGTTGGTGAAGGAGTGAAATCCATTTGCTTGCCCAGTACCAGGCTGAGTATCATGAGAACCCTTTTACAACCCGCTCCCACCCTGACTGCAAAGCAGCCCTGTGACTACACAGCAGAATGGCCATGGGGTCACCAGGTCTCCACAGAGGAGGTGAGAGTTTAGGTGGGACCTGTCTTGAAACCTTTTTCCAGACTCCCACCTTCCGCAACACTGGCCCGGACAGACGTTCACAGATCACACACACTGTAGCCCTCTGATGGAAGTTAGGTTTCTGGAAGAAGAGGTCGGTACTGAGTGGCAACAGCTGAGAGTTATGGTGTCTTCTTAACATATTATCCCTTTTCTTTCCTTCCTTTCTTTTCTGAACATTAAAAAAAATGATGCATATGGGTAGGTATCTCACCTGCATGTTTATCTGTGCACCACTGTGTGTGTGGGACCAGTGGAAACTTGAAGAGGGGAACTAGAATGAGCCACCCTATAAGTGCTGGGAACAGAATCTGGGTCCTCTAGGAGTAGCCAGTGCCTTTAATCTACAGCCTGCTTTTTCTACCCCACCCCAGGCTTGAGGACAGTTTAATTAATCTAAAAGAAAGATCTCAGGGCAGCAAACTGTAAATCTTGGTAGCTGCCTGGAGGCAGAAGATAGAGGAAAGAAAAAAGAAAGCCATGCTCTTCAGGTTAGAGAAAGAGTGAAGTGCAGAGTGTTAGGGAATGCATGCTTAGAAACGAAATAAAGCAAAGGAAAATTGGAACCTTTTGCTGGGTGGTGGTGCACGCCTTTAATCCCAGTATTCAAGAGGCAGAGGCAGGCAGATCTCTGGGAGTTTGAGGCCAGCCTGGTCTACACGAGCTAGTTCTGGCACAGGCACCAAAGCCACAGAAAGAAACCTTGTCTCAAAAATAAATTGGAACGTTTTTGAAAAGCGAGCAGATTAACTGCTGCTCCATTAAGTGTCCAATTTATGATTCGCTCTCTCTCCTCTCTCTCTCTCTCTCTCTCTCTCTCTCTTTCAAGACAGGGTTTCTCTGTGCAGCCCTAGCTGTCCTGGAACTTGCTCTGTAGACCAAACTGGCCTCTACCTCCCAAATGCTGCGATTAAAGGTGTGTGCCCCCACCACCTGATTCCATTTATCTATTTCTAATGTGCTATTTGACCAACTCTTTGTTTTGTTTTTCGAGACAGGGTTTCTCTGTGTAGCTTTGAAGCCTATCCTGGCACTAGCTCTTGTAGACCATGCTGGCATAGAACTCACGGAGATCTGCCTGCCTCTGCCTCCCGAGTGCTGAGATTAAAGGCCCAGCTCCACCTTTTTTTTGAGATAGGGTTTCTCTGTAGCTTTGGAGTCTACCCTGGAACTAGGTCTGTAGACCAGTCTGGACTCGCACTCACCGAGATACGCTTTCCTGCTTACCTCTACCTCCTGAGTGCTGGGATTAAAGGTGTGTGCCACCAGTGCCTGACTTTGACCAACTCTTGTTTGTTTGTTTGTTTTGATTTTTCGAGACAGGGTTTCTCTGAAGCTTTGGAGCCTATCCTGGAACAAGCTCTTGTAGACCAGGCAGGCCTCAAACTCAGAGATCTGCCTCCCGAGTGCTGGGATTAAAGGCCTGCACCACCACTGCCTGGCTTTGACCAACTGTTATCTGTTATTCCTATCTTTCTTTCATTTATATATTTGTTTGTTTACAAGTTGAGCCCAGGATTGAACCTTGCCTATGTCAGACACTAGCATACCTAACCCTTTTTTAGAAGGTCTAATTGAACATTGCCAGAATCTTTCCCAAAAT